TTCTACATATATATATATATATTTGTCTTCTATTTTGGCAGAATGGTCAGATTTTGTGTGTGGAAAAATTATTATGTGTGGGCACCTAGATGTACGAGCAATGGTGAATAGGGAGGTCACATCACCACAAATTTATATAAATGTGACGTGGTCTCCTTATCCACTGTTGTCCGTACATGCAGTGTCCGTACGTAATAATTTTTTATTTATTTAGTCTTTGGTGGTATTGATTACAAAAAAATAATAATAATAATAATAAGATGAAAAAATCAAATAAAATTCTAACAACTTGTGAATTACATGTACATCAAAAATTTGTCAGCACGAACATTATAGAAACCCAACAAGCAACAGAGAAGATGATGTGGTGAGATGGGGCCCATTAAAGTATATATATATATATATATATATTTGTCTCTTATTTTGGCAATGGTCAGATTTTGTGTGTGTGGAAATATTATTATATGTGGGAATCTAGATGTACGAGCAATGACGAATAGGGGGGTCACATCACCACAAATTTATGTAAATGTGACGTGGTCTCTCTATCCATTGTTGTCTGTAAATGCAATGTCCGTACGTAATAATTTTTTATGTGTTTAGTCTTTGGTGGTATTGATTACAAAAAAAAAATAATAATAAGATGAAGAAATCAAATAAAATTCTAACCACTTGTGAATTACATGTACATCAAAAATTTGTCAACACGAACATTATAGAAACCCAACAAGCAACAGAGAAGATGATGTGGTGAGATGGGGCCCATTAAAGGCAGTTTTAAAGCCAAAAATTTTTCTACCCAGCTCCTAGTGGCCTACAGAATCAAACCTCATAATGGAAGAAAGTCAACAACCCTCCCAAAAAGTCACGAACAATCCAACATGATTCCTCATACAGGTCGAGCAGATGGCAGAAATCGAATTATTTCTGTTTGTTTTCTCTTTTTTTATTTTTGAATGGGTCGTCAGTTTGTCTATCATCATATAATTCCATTTTCTGAATAAGTCTATTTTTCATATCATGATCTGGAAAAGAAATGAACCAAAAAGCAGAAACATACAACGAATAAAACAAACAAAGAGAACGAAAAACATGGAGAGCCTGAGTGATAAACCTTGTAATGATAGGTCAAGTATGTCCTCCCAAAAAAGATTAGACGGAGGCACAATGGATCAATATTCGTGAAATAATACTTACGTACACTACATATAACCAGATATTCAGGTGTGTTTCCCTGTTCTGAGGTCTAGAGTGCTCATAAGGGGGTGTATCCCACCTAATTAATTAAATTTTGGGGGCTTCCTTCTAACATTTTAAAACGCGTTTTAAAATCGTTTTAAAATCGGGTTGAAGATCTTTGGCCTGGATTATTTTTCAAAATGAATCGAGGCCAAAGAACTTTCCTGGATCACTGCAAAGGTTGTTTAGAACTTCGTTAGGACCAACTTGATCTGTCGGTACGACTTACCACAGATAACTATCACAGATAATGAAATGTATTATGCAGACAAAAAATGTCATAGATTTTTGCCAAAGTCAAGGGACAAGCCATAAATTTGTCTCGATTGGTCACCCTCGGACAAATGACCAGAAAGAAGCAACAAATAAAATTTTTATCAATCTGTTAACGAAAAAAGTTTAAGGAGCAAAGGGGAGCTAAGCGAATATACTCTTGTCCATTTTATGGGCTGTTTGGACAACTCTATCCACTACGACCGGACAAACTCCGTTCGTGCTCTCACATAGGATGGAAGTCCTATTGTCGGAAGAATACAACCACCACAACCAAAGGGTCCTCCTGGTTGCGACATTCAGTGAGGAAGATTTGCCAGAATGCCTAGAAGCATACGTCAAAGGATCGATGCTTGTGTTGGACCTAACGGAAAAAAAAACACTACGGTAGGAAGAGGCCAAAAGAAGAGTCGCCCGATATTACAACTGACATGTATGGGAGAAAGCTTTCGCTACCTGGGATTTGATATTAAAGAAAGTCGAACCCAAGCATGAGGAGAGGTGATTAGAAAGCTAGACCAGACATGGAGCGGCCCCTATATTATCGATCACAATGCGAGAACCGAAGCATACACACTAAGGACTTACGCTAGAAATGAGTCCCCTAGACTTGGAGCTGGGATGACCTTAAAAGATTCTTCCCTTAAATCTACTACTTTTTTTGTCTCAATACTCTCAATTAAAATCATTTTTTCTATCAGTTGTTTGTAATTCTAAATTTTATGCCACTCTCTCAAAAGTTCCATAAAACAAAT